TCCTTGGCGAATGCTTTCGCAGTAGTTAGTCTTCAGCAAATCCAAGAATTTCACCTCTGACAGCTGAATACTGACGCCCCCGACTATCCCTATTAATCATTACGGCGGTCCTAGAAACCAACAAAATAGAACCACACGTCCTATTCTATTATTCCATGCTAATGTATTCGAGCAAAGGCCTGCTTTGAACACTCTAATTTTTTCACAGTAAAAGTCCTGGTTCCCCCCCACAGCCAGTGAAGGCCATGGGATTCCCCAGAAGGAAAGGAACGGCCGGACAGTACTCGCGGTGAGGCGGACCGGCCGGCCGAACCCAAGGTTCAACTACGAGCTTTTTAACTGCAACAACTTTAATATACGCTATTGGAGCTGGAATTACCGCGGCTGCTGGCACCAGACTTGCCCTCCAATTGTTCCTCGTTAAGGGATTTAGATTGTACTCATTCCAATTACGAGACCCAAAAGAGCCCCGTATCAGTATTTATTGTCACTACCTCCCCGTGTCGGGATTGGGTAATTTGCGCGCCTGCTGCCTTCCTTGGATGTGGTAGCCGTTTCTCAGGCTCCCTCTCCGGAATCGAACCCTAATTCCCCGTTACCCGTTGCCACCATGGTAGGCCACTATCCTACCATCGAAAGTTGATAGGGCAGAAATTTGAATGAACCATCGCCGGCGCAAGGCCATGCGATTCGTTAAGTTATTATGATTCACCAAGGAGCCCCGAAGGGCATTGGTTTTTTATCTAATAAATACACCCCTTCCGAAGTCGAGGTTTTCAGCATGTATTAGCTCTAGAATTACCACAGGTATCCATGTAGTAAGGTACTATCAAATAAACGATAACTGATTTAATGAGCCATTCGCAGTTTCACCGTATAAATTGCTTATACTTAGACATGCATGGCTTAATCTTTGAGACAAGCATATGACTACTGGCAGAATCAACCAGATACCTAGTTCCTAGCCGGACGCGCCTGGGCCGGAGCCCGGGGCGCGCCCGAAAGCCCCCGGAGGGGCAGCATGTACTGTAGGTCCTCTCGGATGATTTGGATTGCTCCGGCCGCGGCGACGCCCCCGGCGTACCGGGGACACGCGCGCGACCATCCAATTGCCCCCACTGAGCTCCCCAGGACACCGGTCCGCACGCAGGTGATCCCGGCAGGACGCCCTCGCGGGCGCTGGCGGGCTGCGGCATACGGGCCTCGGGTGGGGGGACCGGACCGCGCGAGCACGCTGGCGAACAGCGGATATCGCACGGCGGCTCCCCCCGGGAATCTGGACGGAAACGCTGGCCAGCGGCCAATGATCCACAGACCCCATCGGTGCCGGCGGCCAGAGGGCCCCCGGGCTTCGGTCGCCTTGGGCGAGGCCTCGCCCCCGAGGGGGGTCGACCGTCGCCCGCAGCGGGCGGTTGCCACCGCGGCCGGGGTGCGATTCCAGGGAATCTGACCACCACCGGGCGCGGAGAGGCAGCCTGCCGAGCAGGGAAGGATGCAGAGGCTTCCGGCGAGCTGAGCTCGCCTTTCACCTTCCACATAGTACCACCGGCCTCAGTTGGGTCCGGAGATGGTGTGCAAACGTTCGATGGTGCGGACGCGATTCCCAGGGGGGCGGTTCTGTATGGGGTGGTCCGTGCGTCGGGCCGTTTTCCCATACAAACTGGGCCTTGCAGACTGGCCCGCGAACCCGCAGAACGGGGACTTGGCCGTTTTCGACCCCCCCGCCAACTGGCGGGCCCGAGCGGCGGCGCCCACCGCGGCCCCCGCCCAGGATATGTTCCGGGAGGTGGACTGGAATATATATATGGATGTGTATGGCTCTTTTCCTTCTCGCCCAGGGCGCCGCCAACTGGCTAACCCCCGCTGCTCATGCCCACCTCGCCGCCGCCCAACGCCACTC